GCGTTGTGCAAAGCAGAACTTTTCATTTGAGAATGTTTTAACTAAACTCAGGGGCTTTCCCAAGTAGTTGCTGTGGCTAAACCTAACCAAGATTAGTCCATTTTGCATTGCAGACTGGTGTAGCTATTACACATTTTGCTGTGAGACTGGTTGGATAATCAGACAAGAATATCAGTTTTTGCCTGTTCTAGCAATTTCAGTATTTGTACCGTCATGGAACTTCATCACATTAATGTCAGAATTGCACAGAGCAGGCCTGCTAACTGATTTGCGACACTGACCATCATGTCCTAATATATCAAGAGTTATTTAAAAGGTAGCAAGACATTTTCACTAGTGTATATTGTCCTGTTGCCCAACCCTAGTTATGAAAGGTGTATCTGTTTTTAATTGCTCCTCTATTGGCATTTATCTAACCTTTTTTTTTAGGAATGTTTTATAAAATAAACGAACTTTTCCCCTTCCTTGTGAAAATGCTAGCATTGGTAAAATTATTAGGTGAAGTAGGAGGAAAAATAACAGATTGTAATATCTGCTTAAAAATAGCTTTTGCATCCCTTGTAACTTCCATACCTTAAAAGGATTAGGAGTGAAAAGGAGTTTTCCTTCAGCTCTTGGCATACAGCAGCACAGTGGAGAGGGCAAAGCTGAGGCCAAGTTTTTCAACGCAACACAAAGAATAGAGTCAGGGTCTTTCACATCAGACATGACAATTGTGTTCTCTGGAATACATCAACCATAATAGGCTTTTTTCTGTTGTCCATGCTGCCATATTTACACACACGCAGACACTCAGTATACATGCACACACTGCATCACAGTAAGTCTTTAACATGTACCATCATGTCTTTTGTAGGCATTCTGTCTTCATCAGCACATGAAATATGGAGTATAGGGTTACTGCAGGCAGGCGTGGGGATGGCTTCAGAGCAATAAGATAGCAGTAATGGCACACCATCATTTAGGAGAATGTAATAAGTGAATATCTAATAAGTCTGTAAAAGATGCTCAACCCCTGAATCTCTGAGGTCAGCTAGAGAGCTAGGAGAATAAGCTGATTAAGCAAGGTTTCTTCTCACATCATGGTCATCACAGGATTGACCAACTCCTGACCCCGCTGTTAGGAGTGCGGTTACCTTACCCTAGAACCACTCCTGTGTTCGGATAAATCTGCTATTTATGGCATTTGATGATAACTTGTGCCTGATATGAGAAAGTAATAGGTTATGAGATGGTGCAGAGGTTAATGAAACACAAAAAGATTAGCGTTCCGCTTTTGCTTGAAATTCGCCATTTGGTTCCTAACTGAAAGCTACACTATGAGTGCAGTTTTGAAAATTGTAATATTTGTGAAGATCTTAGGCATACTGCCATGAGGGGTTGCAAATTCTGATTTTGACACAAGCACACATTCCAAGAAGCACTAAATGGTCCAAGACACTCCTTATGTTGATCTGTGGACAGATTTGTTGTTTAGTGATTGATTGACATGAAGATATGTTGGTCCCAATCCCAGAAGATGCTTATATAAACTGAAGCAATTGGTTTTAAATGTTATCCCCACCTGTTTCTCATACGATGGTGTAGTTTTATTCCCAGCTGACAGACTCGGTAAAAGACAGGTGAAATGTGCCATGCTCAAAATGAATGATATATCCAGGACTTAAGGTCACTCTCTTTTGCTTTCTGCTTCTTTTCACTCTAAAGGGGAAGTGTATACATACACACACACACACACACACACGGAGCCAGATCCTAAAGCCATTTTCAGGCAGGGCAGCAGAGTGTGTCCTCATTACCGCCTCTGAGTGTGTAGTCACCACTCAGTCACAGCTCCTGCTGCCAGAATGGGATTTTCTCCTCTGACTCTTCACCTCTTTTTCACCGTAACCTCTCTTGCATATCGCTTCATCTATTTCTCAGACAGAAAATCATTATCATTCAGGAAAGACAATTTCCCGCTCCTATGGTCCCTTATACGCTGCCAGTTGAACGTTTTTTTTTTTTTTTTTTGGAAAACCTTTTTTTTTTTTTTTTGCTTTAATTTCAAGTAGCGTAATTATTAGTTAATAGCAACCTCATTAAAATAGTGAATTGAGGAATGCTTTTTACTTTACTTGAAATGATCTATATAATCAAATAAGACCTAAGCCTTAGTAATCGAACTTTAAGTTTCCACCTTTAGCTAACGGCGTGCTGTATCACTGATGCTAACATCAGCCAGACATTTTCCAATAAAAATATTTATTTATTTTGTTCAGTGTATATGTATTCTTTAATTTTGTTTTGTCCATGAATGTACAGTTACATCCCTTTACATTTTAAGAAAAGTGCCAAAATAAGTCAAATACATTTAGTGCATATGTATGTTAGTGGATAAGTCTTTTTCACTTTTACAATTTCATAATGAGACGAGTGCATCTACACTATTTTCACACGAAGAAAATATAATTAAAGTGATTTCACCATAAATAACCTCTTTACACTTTTGTTCATGTACATTTTTAATTGTGTTTCTTACAAAACAGAGGCACTGAGCTCCAGCTGACTTTCCGTATCCAGCAAGGTGAAATGTTTGATTCTAGTAAAAGGTTTCACTGATTCACTGAAACCTGTTCTTGTTTGAAAAAGTAGCCAACGATTTCCATTTGCCTCTGGGAGTAGCTGAGGTTTACGCTCTCCTGATAGAGGATCAAAGGAACAGGGAGAGATGCAGTCCACACGGGGTTATTAGACTGTAATGGCAACCAGATGAACTTGTTGATAGAGTAGTGAACAAGTCTAAATAACCTAACACTTGGCTTGTTCTGACACAGGCATAATCTGACTTCTCCAGTTTACCAGCTGGAGAGTTTAACAAAAAGATGTTTAGTGACATTTGTTCTTCCCTTTCCTTCTTGAACTGCTATATGTTCTTTATAAAGTCTGGTGCATGTCGATGAAAGGTTGTTTGCTTAGGTGAATACAGAAAAGTGATCAGAAAACGCATGGACAGTGTATTCACCTGCACTTCTTATACATTAATACGCTGTGGTCAGGACCTGTCTGCTTTCATTTCACTTTGTCAGACTGAATAAGTAATGCCAAAGGAGACGAAACGGGGAACTGGGAGTTCAAGAAGGGGAAGTAGATTCAGTTCTCGTCTTTGGTTTGGTTGACTATGACGCTGATTTTACTTTTCCTCAGGACACTCTCCAATCACCCTGCAAGGGTTTTAGCAGTAGCAGTGTGTGTGTCTTAACATCATATGACAGCTCTGAGCCCAGGTAATCAAATTTGGGATCAGGTGATTGGATGGCAGGGGGGGGAACATGATTGGGAGCCCACTTGATGTCTTTCCAACCTCACACACACTCAAGAGCATAGATACACGCAAAATCACAAGTACTGTTTTTAGAATGTTTTTGCCAGGTCATGGCTAGTCAGAAAAACAACATGGCTGCAACGTGTGCTGCTTAACCATCTGGTGGGCTGAGGCCTCTTCCCCGTGGTGCGGTTTTACATTCAACATACTGTAGCTTCAAAGCTGTGTTACAGCCTGTTTAGTCATAATGTGCCATTACACATCCAAGAACACAAAAAGAACCACATGTGCAGCAGTCCAGTTGCCCAAAGGTACATATTACATATGTTACATATTGTACACAAGATCATTCCTGTGTGTGTGTGTGTGTAGGAGACTCTACATTGCATAGCTCCAGCTGGCCAGGAGGAAGGAGTTGATTCAAAAAGCATGAGATTATTCATTTCCCTTCTTTCTGCTCCCACTGCACACTGGAAGCACACACTTGTATACATGTACACGCTCACACTCGTGGACAGTGAGTTTTTCCCAGTGTGCAGTTGCAACATGCTGATTGATGTTGTTTAATATTGTAATGCTGTACATGGAGGTATTTTTAAGATCGCTTGTGATGAATGTGAGAAAGAGAAGAGGAGGAGATTCAGCATGAAAAGTTTGTCAGTTTAATATGTTTTCTTCCTTACTGAAGTGGAAACGTTTGAGTCTCAAGCTTGTTGTAAAAAAGGTTTGAAGTGAAATGGATTTCTGAGAATGAGGGAACAAGATCAGGGCTAAGTAACTATTTGAAGGTTTTGTCAAAGGCTCTCCCTGTTTTTACCTTCTTCCTTTCATCTTTCTCTCATCCCTCGCTCCTCCTCCTGCCTTCCCACTCTCATTAGTGATGGTTGTGAGAGAGTGGAGAACAAAGCCCAGGCCCTGCCAATCGATCCCCGAGCAGTGCTATCAATCGACTGGTGAAGCACAGGTCTCCTCCATCAGCTCAGCAATTGACGGGTCAAAGATTGATGAGAAAGTTTGTTGTGTATCTCTCTGTGTTTAATGCAACAGAGCATGTCTTTATTTAAGATAGATTACAGAAGATTTCATTTCATTTTGTTTGTCAGCTACACATTTTAATTTGTCCCCTGATTGAAAATAAAGTAAGACATTCAAGGGAATAACATGTGGGTGAAAAGACACGCTTCCAGGTAACAAAGCCCCCAGATACTGCCAGATGTTTATTTTGGTAGATGCTCTTTATCATGGAACCATGTTTTTAGCAGTAAATACACAGAGACACACAAAATTAAATCATTCACTGGCACAGTTACACTTTACCCTGGCATGGTGTCATTGCCTTTCAGAGCTGTGTCTCATACCAGTGCTTTAATGGATGGATCCTGCAGCAGTCTGAACAAGAATGGGTGTGTGCAAGATTTGTGTGTATGCATGTGTGCGGTTCATTGTTACCCTGTGTGTGTATGTGTGTATATTTTCAAGGTGTTGTGTAAACATTGAAATTATGTGTCACAGCTGGCCAGATGACTTGCCCTGATTTCATCTTGAATTTCTGTGTGTCTCTGTGGGAAGACATTGTTGCCACATTTGCATGAGAAAGGCTGTCAGACTAACACCTTTTCCTTTTTTGCTCCCTCCCTCCCTCCCTCCCTCTCCTTCCCTCTCCCACCCTCTCTCAATCTTCCTCCTGTGTCCACAGCTCTGATAGCCATAGGCCAGTACAGCAGTACCATAGAGACTGTGGATGCTGGCTGGTGTAAGGACATCACAGACCAAGGAGCCACACAGATCGCTCAGAGCAGCAAGTCCCTCCGCTACCTGGGCCTCATGAGATGTGACAAGGTAACAAGGCTCATCCCATAATGTCTGCTGCTGCCTGGTTTCCTCTGTGTGTGTACTCTCCTGTATGTGTGGCATACTGTCAAAAGATGCTGCTACACTTGTTTTTACATGTACTGTAACAGAGCAGATTTTTTGTGATGTGTACCGCAAAACATTTTGGAGGAAATTTACAATATTGTCAGTAGTATTTTTACTGTACTTTTTGTATATGTTAAAAAGAGCTGAAAACAATTATTTATTGATAAAACAATTCTGCAAGAATTCTGATAGCTATTTGTTAATGCCTTGTTTAGAAAAAAATGCTCAAGATTTGCTTATTTCAGCTTATCTAAAATGAACATTTGTATCTTTTTTCAGCTTTAAATAATTGTAAGTCAAATCTCTTTGGGGTTTGGAGTCACATAAAGCAAGCAGTTTGAAGACACCCCCCTTGAACTCAGTCTTGCACTGGAAAATGGGCATTTGCACTGTTTTCTGACATTTTCTAGACCAAACAATCACTTACCATTAAACACAGCCTTACTTTCGTCAATACATTAGTAAGCCCTGCTTTTAGTGCTCTGAATGTGCTTTATCTGTATCTGATGGCACACCTGTTGCCATTGAAAGTATGATATTACTAATATTAATATTGTTCTCAGAAAAAAGATTTGAATAATTAATAATGCAGATTAAAATATATCATTGTATTTATACAACAAAATGCAAAAATCCTTTAAATCCAGTATTGCCATAAAGCAGTCCTGCTCAATGATCAGCAGTGCCTGTAGTGGCCAGTGTACCCAGATACCTTATGGGGATGGTTGCTTTGGTATAAATGGTATCTAAAGATGGCAGGTAGCTGAGATATTTTTGTCGTCTTATGGTGTATATCTTTAACCACCTCAAGTGCACACACGTAAACAGATACGTAATCAAACACATACCCATGAAGTCCCAGGTTAGGCTAAATGGCCAATTAAAAAGTATCCAGGGGAGCGCGTGTGGAGCAGCTAAGCCACTGCTACCTGTGCCCAGTATGTCAAAGGGATGCACCCTGAGCTGATTGGGTAATAAGAGAAGTAAAGTGACTTAACGACCCTTCTCAAACCCTTTTTTGAGAGCCTCTGGTTCTGAAGGACGATCGAGTTGAAATCACCCTTTAAATCTCATCTGGCCTCTTAACCATCCAATTACTGACTTGATGGAAGCACACTTAGCTGTAGTGCCATGGTAACAGCCCCACCCACCTCCCCAATTGTTTCAGTGGCACTCCTACCACACAGATGCATCCACTTAGTGTGGGATCATTCAGTCTGACATGAGTGGGATGGGGGAAAACAAGGAAGGGAAAGTGAACAGCTGGCTTAACCTAGAAACTTAATCTCTACTGAGATTGTACGGTCTGGTGTCTTGAACTGTAGCCTGATACACAACACAGGCCGCAAGCCCAATGACGAGGAATGTGAGTATAGCAAGTACTGTATGTTTTAATGAGCCTTTCATTTTCAGGTTGTGGTAAGAGTTTACATTTGGGTTCTTGGCTGAACAAATTTAAAAGGCCCTACTGTGTAGTAAAAAAGTGCAAGTAGAAGATGGCAGGGAAGAACAGGAGGGGAGAAGATCTGACTTATAGTCGGGGCCTTTCACCAGGTTGGGAACTCATCATTTTTATGTGTTCATTATAAAATCAGTTATATCTGCATGTTGCGGCCTCATAGTTGACCCTATGGATTTCTCTGATAAAAATGCCAACGCGGTGGTCATTAAGCGCAACAAGAACATCAGTGTATCATATTTATTTATTTATACTGTAATGAAATTTAGACATATGCGGGCCTGACAGTGACCCCATATGTAAGGTCTAAGTGATGAAGTGGTATACTCAGTTCACGTTATTGCAGTCATGAATGTGTATCTATCATATTTATCTAGGAGTAATAAAGAGTAACTGCATTACATAGCAGGTGATCACTCCATTTTCATTTAGTTCCCTCTTGCCGCTCAGACTCAGTGACCCAACAATCGATATCTACAGCCATGCTAATAAAAACTTCCTGTGGAATAACCTACATCTTTACTGGAATAACAGTTTTTCTTAGTTTCTCTCTACTGTATACTTTAATGCCCCTACCCTCCCAACAACAATTCACACATTCCTCTGCCCTTATTAATCTATCTCTCTTCAGATGTGCTATTCATACTGATAATTTAGCCCAGAGGATGGAAAGATAAATAATTATTCTCCCTCTGCTCTGAAGGGGGAGTTTGGGGATGACATAGATAAATAAAGCAGTAATTGGTGCTATTAGAGTTGTAATGGAGTGTGAATCGAGCAGAGAGAAGAGTTTGACAGTTTCCAAGGTCAGGTACATTACCAGCTCCAAATCACAGCTTTAATTCACTGCATGTTTGCCCTCTTCACTCATCCCTCTGTCTTCTCTTTTTTTTTTTTTTTTTGGTGCCAAAATTGTGTTCAGAATTGCAAATGAGCACGGAGTTCTGGCGAGGATTGGTCAGACCTGTGTGGGAAGGCCATCCTACGGCAGCTACTTTCTTTGTTGTTGTATTTCATTATGTTAGACAAGAAATAGAGTTACAGTACATCAGATATGGTCAAGTTTCAAGGAACAGGGGTAATCCGTAGTTTGCTCAAAGGGAAACAAATAAACAGAAATAGGTTGTTATTGCCAAGGTCACAGCGAAAATGAGAGCTACAGAGTGAGTTAAAGAAGCAAAAAGGTGAGAAACAGAGACACACCAGGGGAATTGTGGTTATCTGTGAGCCAACCCAGGGGCCAGCAGTGACCATGCCCTGGCTTTTTCTCACCTCCTACTCTCATCTCTCTCCTCTCATCCATTCCTCAAACCTCCTGCCCTCCCCCCCCCC